ACCTGGGTATCATACGCCACAGTACTGTCGACACCTCCGGAAACAGCTCCAATCTGCGAAGTAATGAGCAAGCTGACATGTGACGTTGGGTAAGATGGATACACATACAACCTGTGCTTTGTCGCCAACCAGTTGTCGAATTCGAACAATTTCCCGCTCTGAGAAGTTGTCCATTTTCCAGTCCGCTCGGGCACCACAGATCTTGAGAGCGAAGTTGGCGATGATGTCAGTCCCCCGCTCTGTGTGAGAGATCTCAGGGTGGAATTGGATGCCTGTCAATCATACTTATGAGCAAAGTTTAGCGCAAGCTTCGATAAGACACACATACCGAAGACGGGCAGAGAATCGTGGGCAATGCCAGCAAATTCACTGTTCTTGGTGGTTGCAATGGTCTTGAAGCCATCAGGTAGATGAACGAGCTTGTCAAAGTGACTCATAACAACTGTAGTGAGAGAACGTCAGATACCATGAAGCCAAGCCAGACGAACAGCATCTGCATAACGAACCGTTCAAAGAGTCTCCCAATCCCTCGAAGAGACGATCAGCATGGTTGCCAATCTTGCGGATGGCCATCGAAGTCTCCCCGTATTCACGGGCCACGCCAGGTGCCACGTTGTTTGGGTTTACTCGCCATGCTGGGACAGCCGTTAGTCAATAATCACCCGGACACATCCAAGGGGTAGTATACCAATCAGTTGACAGCCATAGCAAACTCCTCTTCATAACACATTAGTAACTTTTCATCATGCTCTTGGTGTAGAACGTACAACACAGGAACACCAAGCTCGAACACGAGCGGATCCACGTTTGGGGCATCGGGGGAATACACGCTTGACGGGCCCCCGCTCAGGATAATGCCCACCGGTTTCCAGGACAGATCTTTGAGCTTCTGGGTACATGGTAGCATCTCAGAGTAAACCCCAATGGATCTCAGCCGTCTCAAGATGAGCTTTGATTTATTAGTTCTTATTACCCACATAGCAGGAGTAGAGAACGAACATGACTGGTCTGGGATCCTAGATCCAAGACGAGGACGGTCTTGACAGTAATGGTCAGCACTACATCAGGATTTAAGAATTCTTAGTCCTTACGTCGAAGGTAGCATGCGGCGGCGCCGCGTCAAGTGTGTCGCTCATTTTAGAAGAGATTTCTGGCCAAATCTTCAGGCGCAATAATCGTAAGTCTGGTTATACTGGCAGAAGGACAAGGGACCATGCAAGCATCCAAGCGAAGCGAGCAATGTATAGCTAAAAAAGAAAAAAAGAAAAATTCTATTTGGCTGACTCATCTACACACAGCCCTACCGATGTTAGTACCGCATCAAGGTAACCTTTATGAAATTCCGTTAATTTCCGTAGTGTCCGTGGGTATATACTCTTAACCATGTTAGTCGTTTAACCAGTAGTGCTATATGCCCAATTATATACCCCGATATTTTAAGGTTTGACACAAAAACAAGCCTCTGATAGAGATAACAGCAGCGCTGATCTATCAATTGCTGCAGAATGCAGACAGGGTCTAATCATCAGCGAACCGGGATATCATGTATATTATGGATGTAGTGTCTATGCTGCTGAAACATCAAATGACAAGGACATCTCTCTACAGATTCTGTAAAGAACCAGATTGATGGCTACTTCGCACTCAACACTACCGAAGCCTTCAAACTGGTCTATCTTATACAACCGCCGGCTGGGCTAGCTCAAGCCATTTCAATATGTTATATTGCCATTTCATTTTGCAGCACCCTTCTGATAGGTGAGGAGTCTGCTTGTAGGGAATCAGCCACATCTGATTTGCTGTTTTGCGACCATCTCCTCATGGAGTGTCAACTTTTGCTGGAACCGGTTCCATACTGGTTTTGTGTATAAGTTTGCCGCAGGGCCGCACAAACTCAATGCGAAAAAAAACATCCTTTTAGTCTCTGCCACCTTGTCTCGAAATCCTTAGCTGCTAGTCCCCAGCACTTGCGTGAGTTGTTAGGTCAGGGGAGCCTTTCATAAGAAAAGCTCGACGTCCCTTCTATCAGCCTCGAAGCTATTTTGTTCAGTCCATTTTCTTGATACCCTCCGTTTGAGGGCACCAGCAAAAGGGGGACGATAATTTCCAAACAACTATATCAGGAGAATTGTACCTTTGATTGTGACTAATAGAGAACTTTGACACCATTCATGTGGCTGGCCAATGGTCCCGCTACTCGGCAACTCGACTTGTCTTCCAAAGCCCGCACCTCGGGGCCTTCCTGATGCCCAATGGCTTTCCTCGCTCCTCACGGCGTAGCGGTAATGTAGTTCTGCCACTTACACAACATATCGAAGCCATTCAGGTTCGTGGTACAGCAGAATTGTTGAACCACCTGAGCTCCAAGGAGTTACCTACAACAGCGTCTTCTATCGGACAGAAGCGTCGGTATGCCGCAATCCTTGGTTGATAAAGTAATATTGGAGGGAAACATTCCCAACACTCGGCGTTATAGGGGCCTCCTGACAACTATGTGGAGATCTTTGTGTGACGAAGATGACATTCACCTCTAGCTCCTAGACACATAGCGGTCACTCAGTCTGTCAATCTTTTTGGGTAACCATGGAGCGTCACGCAGAAGACGGGTAAATACAATTGAGAGGAAATTCGGCGTAAATTAGAAGAATATCTCAGACATGGATAAAGGTATCGCTCTTCCGCATTTAAGCACTGCATTGTTCACGATGAACTGCATTTGACTGCTCAGTCAAAAGTGAAGCGCTCTCTTCGACGAGGAAATCCCGCTGCGACACAACCGGAGTCAGTTGAGAAACAAGTATCCCTTCAAATCTGTCAGCCTTCTCTTTACACAATTCTCTTGCGTGAAACATGGCGGCGGGTTGAACAATAACTAACGAAGCGCAGGGAGGTTGCTGGAGTACTTTGGCCCACGTAAAACAACCAAACATCACCCAGTCTCAAGTGATCGAATTATACGTATCTGAAAAAGCTGAGGTTCATATGCCATTAATAAGAAATGACCTTATGGAAGTGCGTACAGATGGGATGACATAACCTAACATGCTGACTGTCCTGGTGCTTCTGCGAAGTATGTCCCGATCAACAGGATCCTTACACAGCTCCAACGAGACGTTTCTAAATGTCCGGAGGGTGTACGTTGATAAGAGTGTCTGGGCTAGTAAAAGGTTACGGGGGAACGCGGCGTCTGTCACAAAGGGGCTTGAGGTTCCTAGAAAACTATTTGTCGGTATCCATCTACCGAATGGCAAACTGGAAGTAGTTGCCCTCCTGGAGTCCGAAAGTCATTAGGTCTAATGAAGGCTTAAGCCCTGAGAACTCCACCGAACCCAGAGTGCCCAAGTGATATCTCTTAGAGTTACTCTCCTAAACCCCAAACTTGATCTTCGAAGGAGCATGCCAAAACACCATTCGGAATGAGACATTTCGAAAATGGTGAAGTCACATCAGCGGGGGGAGGCGGTGCTACGTTGTAATTCATGCTTATTGACATACAAGGTCGCCCGAGATATCCGAGCCTATTTGTTGTTGTTCCTCAGGTTACAAGGTGTTCTGCTCCTGAAGGCCCCAAATGTCAACAGCATTCAACGATGGGCCTCATTCGATTGCAGACGAAGAGAAGGGAACATACACGGAGAGCTCCTTCTAAGACATAGATGATGACAAGTCTTCCGATAAACGGAGTCGCTTGGATTCGCGTGATAACGCCATGCTTGTTCGCAGAGGCACCAAGCGGTCCTTTTGTGAAGTCGAAGAAGTGTATTTGAAAGAAATGCTGCCTACGCCTATACACACCAAGAGATCTGCCCCTAAAGTAGCCCCGTAGAATATGAGCCTATTGCGGCAAAAACTGCAGAGGAAGGAGACTTGCATAAAGGTCAAGGGCCTTCAGAATACAGACAATTTTGAAACTCGAGTACTGCTAACAACAACCACTCAACTACAACCACAAGGCCATCTGTAGGAAGGGTTCTGGGAAAGATGGCCTTGTTGAAAAATGAAAAAAAAAAAAAAAAAAAAGCCTTGTAGGAAGAAGGTGTTCGTGCAGTCCACGAGCCTTCTCGAAAGAATGCCGCTCCTAAAATCAACGTGCCTCCTGAAGTCCAGAACTTTCCCGAGGCTGGTGGCTTCCCCAGCGCTATGAACTCGTCAATACCAGCCATAGCGTCTCGAAACAAGACTTCTCGTTCGTACTGAAAAGAAGCTAACTACAGATGGAGACTATTTTGAAGAGGCACGGCCTGCGAAGCAACTGCGGAATCCCCCGAGAGAAATCACTTTGCGCGCGATGCGGCCGGCTGTTTACTCATGGTGAGACCACACGCAAGCATGTGAAGACCTGCAAAGGAACGGCCTGTGGTGTTCTGACCTCAGTCACACTCCAACTGCCGGCCCAGACTGCGGTTAAGGTGCCATGCGAAAGATGCGGACACCTCGCGTGGCTTTGGAATCTGAAAACCCCATCTACTACAATGCAAGAGCAAAGGTAGCCAGTGCATGAAAGGGTATGCCTCGTGTCGTTTTCGGTTTGGAAAGATGCGAGCGAAACGCAAGCTTGAATGTTGCAGCTTTCGCCATGGCCATTTGGGTGAGAACAAGTACATCTGCAGCTGCTACGGCAATGTGCATGAATCAGATGTGATGTTCTTCCAGCATCTCGCTCGGTGTCGATGTAGATGTGATCCATGCAAGGACTCCAACATTCCTTGTCTATAGTCCGGCACGAGTTCTGTGTGCAGTAGCTGTATCGGCAAAGAGATCCAGTGGACAGGCCTTGAGACTCGGCAACCAGATGCTATGCCCTCATTGTCTTTTGTGTATACCACAAAAGAGGATCGCAACGTATGAAAAAAAAGGTACAGAACTTGGTGCTACCATTGCATTGAGCTAGATGTACATTGTGAGCTTGGTTTGGGGGGGACTACATCAGTTCCCATGTCGTCAAGATGAGGTGGAAAGCGTATTGGAATAACAGACAGGGTGCAAACACATGAAGCTACCCAGGTCCTAACTAGAAGCCGGCACTGGAGTGCAACAGGAGCATCATCAAACTATATCCATAAATACTCCCATGGCCATATTATCAGGTAATATAGTTTGTTATCACTTGAATATACCATCGCTTCAGGACCCCGTAACCATCCCACGAATGGTTCCGTGGCAAGCTTCCCGGAACAAAGCTGTGCTACAGACGCCGGGGGCGAGATGCTTAAACTATGTTCATTCTCTCATCAAGCATCGGTCTCATACAATAAGGAGTCTCAAGGTGTAGTCCCGTAACAATGCCTTGACATCCGTAACAAGAACGCTCACTCAAGCCAGGGCACCCATAGGATCCCACGGTGGGAGGATAATGGCTTCCTTCTTGAGCACATCGCGAACCTCCTTGCTGCAGAAGCGAGGATCTACAACAGCCTGATAAACAAACTCGTCGAGCCAAGCATCACTCATAACAAACCATCCCTTGTCACCTGCCGCAGTGCCCCAACTGTTCTGCACTCTCCAACGGACAGGCTTGCCCGTCTCCTCGTCCAGATGAACTGCAGTCAACACCATAGCGTGTGTCATCTGACTCTCCTGTGTTGTCAATCGCTGTGCTTTGCTCATGCCAAGCAAGCTGGTGTTGAAGCCAAGTTCATAGTCGAAGAGATTGAGATCCATAATGCCCGACTTAGAGTCGGAGAACTTACCCACGTCGCTACCGAAGAAGATAGGCAGACCAGCCTTGAGCATCTTTATACATGTCCCCTTAAGGGTGTCGATATCAACGTTAACGTAGCTCACGCCACGTCCACCCACAATGTTACCAAGTCGTGAAACTGAGAGAAGAGAGAGCGGCTCGTGACGAGGATCGTCCACGAGTGAGATCATACTCTCGATGGTGCTAGAAGTGATGCGGAAATCGGAACTATATATGTTCTTGGAGAACTCTTTAGGTGTAGCCTTCAGCTGATGTGACTTGCCGTTCTTGTCGTTGTACTGCCAAGTGAAGGTTTCCTCGGGGCTTGGTGGTGGTCCAAGGAGAAGAGTCAAGATGAGAGAAATCTCACGAAGCATTTTGTCCTTTGCCGACGAGAGTGTGGCAGCTGAGACGCCATTCTTAGAGTTAATCAGGCCCCGTAGCTTGAGTGCGAATTCGCGAAGCTTGGTTTTGACAACACTATTGAGAACACCCGAGCTCTGGGCATTCCATGTATCAGGGTAGAGAGTCTGTGGCACTAGACCATACTTCTCGACGAGATTGTACACCATGTCCCATTGGCCACCATCAGAGACGATGTCGCCCAGTAAAGTTTGAACAAGACGTCCTTCAAGCTCCTCTCCAGCGGTATCGATGATCTGCTCCAAGAACCAGTTCGCCTTTTCGAGCTTATCCCAGAAGAAGAGATACTGCTGTGAGAGCTCAAAGCTCTCGAGGTTATATCGCTTCATGATGGCAACTCGGAACACATTTGTGGAGGCAAACAACCAGCAGCGGCCGCTTGAGCGCTGGTTCGTGATCGGGTCTCCCTCGAATGGAATCTTGACATTATAGATCTGCTGGTCTACGATTTCGGTCGGCAGTGAAGTGAGCACCTGTCTCGGGTTGGCTGAGCTCAGTGCTGTGAGAGCAAGTCTTGATGGATGTTAGCCTCTATAGGAGCGCCCTGACAGCAGGAAACCTCACTTGTTCTTGGGATCTTTGAGGATAGCAGACTGCCAGGACTCAAGCACATGGACAGGTAGACCTTCAGCTTCTCGAGTCAACGGTCCGATGGCACCCTTCTCAGCATCGCTGCTGATTTCGACGTATTCATCATCCTCCTGGAGTTGGAGACTACGGAGGCGCTCAATGACAGCCTTTTCGTGAAGTGTTGGCTTTGATGGCTGAGCACCCATGGTTACTTGTATACACGAGAATGCAACAGATGATGGTTCAGAGGAGTGTTTGTGGAGGAGAAGAAATCGTGCGCTGTCAAGGTTTTAAGGGAAACCTGTGACAGAGTTTCGTCACGCGCTGTCTCATCAACCATGAGCTTGCGTGATTGACGGGCTGTCGGGCTGTGTACCCATCCATCAGAGCTCTGTATCAAGTTAGCTTCGCGCGGGGAAATAGCTTGATGATAAGAGTTCTGAACACATACGATGTTTTAATCATCATGACCATCATGAAAAGATTAGCACGCGGAGCGCTTGGATGAATCTTTCTTATACATAATAAACGAAACACTCACCAGGAGGACGATGAACAAGACCCAAACTTCACTGATTCACAAGACAGAATACGGCAGTTGAAATGTAGGGTAGCGATAGAATTATCGGCACGTATGGGCCGCGTACCTATCTTAGCAGGGGGGCAGCACATTGCCCTATGGGGTTAGTTCAGAGAACCTTGAGAGCTCAGACAAACAACTATACCTTAACAGTACAGGAATGAGAGTGACAGGGCGCGGCACACGAACGCTTAGCTTTATGTAGATGCGGAATCAATTGACAATTACTACAGTCCATGTACAGAACTTTCCCATCTACGCAAAAGACTCCATTTCCAGCTAGCCAACATGATTTATCCAATCTCGATACAAACAAACATGAACCATCTTGATACATACAACAAATCCCCATGAAACTTGACATTGTACAGGCGAATTTCAAGACAGCCTGGACCTGCTCCTCATGACTGAGGTGAGCCCAGTAGTGCTGCCCATCAACTCATTAAGATATTGGGAAGTAGTCGCGTTACAAGCGGCTGCCCGTCTTCAGAAAACAGTGAACACGCTTACAGGCGAGAGCCGTGGATGACCTTCATGTCAACGGCGAGCTCACGAGCACCGTCGTTGAGGACGAGGACACGGACGGAGCCACGGCCGGACTCGAAAGCGCTGCTGAGGCGCGAGTAGAGGTTGGACTGGTCAATGACAGGGAGACCCTGCTTGACGTCACCGGTCTCAGTCATGGCAACGATCTGACCCTCCTGCATGTCGAGGACGCGGTACTGCTTGAAGACAGGGCCGAGCATGGACTGAACGACAACGCTGGGGGCAGGGTTGGAGATGAAAGAGGACTCCTCGTGGAGCTGCTTGGTGAAGAGATCGACACCAAGGTAGCGGTACTGACCAGTGGCAGAGGAGGTGGAGATGCGGATGACCTGGCAGGGGCGGCCCTGGAGCATCAAGAAGTCACCCAGACGGATGTGGTGGCATGGGATGCTGACGGTGTTGGGGAGGCAGTCAGCAGAGGGACGAGGACCCTCGTGAATGTCAATCTCAATATCGCGGCGGCCTCCATGGGCAATGCGATCACCGAGCTTGTGAGCACCGGCGCGGAAAGAGTTGTAGTGACCTGCTGGATCAGTTAGCCTAATTGTTCGAGTTGATTACTCCAAGATTCGGTAATTCACTAACCGTCGTCGTCGTAGTAACCCATCTTGGACTTGTTGTTGTCGACCTTGGTAGTTTCGACGGTTTCTTCAGTGAATCTAACGTCCTTCTTGTTAGATGGACGAGCAACAGGTGTATCAACGGTGAAGTTGTTGACCTGAGTTGTCTTGGTGTCGCGGTATTGAGGCTGGGAAGAGCGGCCGTCAACAGTGAAGTTGTTGATTTCAGTCTTCTCAGAAGTGTATTGAGGTCGGGAAGATCGGCCGTCAACAGTGAAGTTGTTGAACTCGGTCTTCTCGGTCTGGTTGTACTGAGGGTGAGATGAGCGTCCGTCAACAGTGAAGTTGTTGATTTCAGTCTTCTCGGAGGAATAGAATTGAGGAGCGGGTCGGCCTTCAACGGTGTAGTTGTTGGCTTTGAAGTTGTCTTGAGTTTGGTGGTGGGAGTGAGAGTGAGAGTGGGAAGTAGGGTCTTCAGTGGAAAAGGCTTGGGCAGGGCGGTAACGCTGGCGGTATTCACGTTCAGCGAGATCGATGGGAGTGGAGTAGTAGGGATGACGGTGGGTGTCGACCTCTACGTGAGTGTGAGAAGTTTGGTATTGGGAGGGTGGTTGGTACTGAGAGGGTTGGTATTGAGAGGGAGGTTCAGGTCTGGATTTGTCTGGGTTAGCTGATGGATGTCTATAGTATCTCGCTTGCGTATCATATGGCAACGGGAGGCGGGCGGCCCCTGAGATAGCTCCACCGCCTTGCTCAGGCCAGAAGGCTTGAGCGCACTAGTGGACCGGGGATGTGAAGCAAAAGCAAATTGGGTACCCAGCCTAGCTGAGGTGGTTGGCGCGGTAGCGTACATGGGTAGGGGTGCGATGTGAGACGGGGTGTGGTGAGATGTGACATGATGAATTGAGATGGCTGGGGATTCAAGGGGCCGAAGCGCCTGTATTGAGTGGGTTGTGGCCAGCCGGGTTGAGGAAAGCGAAAGTGAAAATCAGACCGCGGAGGAAATGCTCAGGGGGGGGGGGGGGGGGGGGGGGAACGGCAATTGCTACCGTCGCAAGTGATAGAAGACATGCTCTGTTGTGATCATTCTGTCCATGCTTTGACATGTTCCGTCTGATCAACGTGGAGAGAGAGAACTGTGCTGGCCTGGAGAGCAATGATTTTGCAGGCCGTTGCGGACTCGTCTCATACAGTGGGCAAGCAGGTAGAAACAGCCAATATCAAAACCAGGGGCCAGGGAAATTGTAAAATCGGACATACCGTCGCGAGTCTTCACGGATAGTAAAGTGCTCTTCTTCGTGCTCGAATTTTTGGACACCGGGACGGCGGTAACGTTCTTCTTCACGCGTAATACGGACCTCTTCTTCGCTAAAGCGTTGCTCTCCGCGAGGAGGAACCTGTTCGGCGGTGACAGAGACAGAAGAGTATTGACCTTCCCGTCCGGCTTGGGGCTGTTGGGGTTTGATCTCAACCTCTTCGTGGGTTTTTGTTTCGGTAACGGTCTGGGTATGGGATTCGGATTCCCGATATGTCGATGGGAAGATGCTGAAGGGAACGGGGACGCGAGCCTCAAAGTCCAGATTTGCGACTTTTGATGGCGCGAGAGAAGCTTCTCATACAACCTTCCGAAACTCGAAAGGAAGACAAGAAGTTCTCTGGCTCTTGTTCCTAGAAACAAAAGTCGAAGAGAATGGAAAAGAATCGGTAGATGGCGAGCGAGGGCCTTCAGTCGTTCTTTTCTTCTTGTCCGGGTGAGGTTTTGTTTTGACGATGTTGATGTGGATGGCGATAATTGGAGGGAGTAGGAGGAGAAGAGGGACCGAACAGGACGCAGAACGAAACTGGGCTTTTGAAGACGGGGGCAGGATTGGACGACTTGTGCCAAACTGAGCGTTGTGTTGCTCCCTCGGCAGCGCTGTGTCCTGTTGATCCGTTCTGTCCTGTTCTGTCCCAGCCCTTTCACACGCACTTTTCCCTCTCCATTGTTTTACCTCTCCCTCTCACCCCCATGGGCGTGTCGATTGCCTCTGGGTTGTTGTCGCCGATGGCTTGTTTACCACTCGTCTTGTTTACTTGCCAGGGGGTCAATATGTCGTTCTATTTACCTCTTACCAAATCGAGTATAGACCTCACACCCAAACCCCGTATGTGGTAGTCCCCACCACCCACTACGATTATTGCAGCCCCGTCTTGGCCGCAGAGTGCCACTTTTATCCCTTCCTCCTGCGTCTCAGCCAGAGACATTCAGCCAGCCATCTAAGCTCTCGAAGCTCTTTGCCTGATCTGACCTAGCCTGCAGGTCCTTAGCTTCAGCCACTCATGAACCGGCCAGCTACCTAGCTGTCTGCGTCGTCAGCACAGGTTGCACAGCTGTCCGCCCATCCTGTTCCACGCAATTCCTCTTCCAGCTCCGATCTTCTCTCCTCCTGGCACGTATCCGAAGGGCCCATGCTTTCGATATGACTCCCAACTTCCAACTCCCAGCATCAACATTAATAGAAAGTGGAACACAACCCCATATACGAGAGATGAGACATCGCACCCGTCACCGCTCCGCATCCATTGAACCTGGGTAACTGTGATGAGCGACATCCCGTCATTTCAACAGCCTGGGGTTGAAGATCTTCGTCCCCTGGCTTCACATTCATCTAAAGCTCTCCCCGTCTGCCTTTGCCAGTGCTCCGTTCCTGGCGATTGGAAGAGCCTGCGTCGTTAACCAAAACAACAAAGACTGTCCAGTGACGATTCCTCTTGAACGCCACATAAGCACCATGTTTAATCAGGGGGCGGGGACCAGCATCTACTTTGAGCGCTACCACCCAGTATCCCAGTATCCCCAGCCACTCATTTTATCACTTCACCACATGTCTGCATGACTGATTGATGAAAGATGCTTGATGATAAGGACTCTCCATTCTCAAAGTGCCGAATTGCACTACGCATTTCATGTATTAGATCAAGATTGGCCAGAGGAAGGCTGACAAGCGCGGAAACGGAATCGAGTCCTCAGACCTCAGTGATAGATCGTTGGGCAACGACTGTTTGAGGGGCTCATGCAAGTTGCAACCTTTCTCCCATTGGCTGCCATGTGAAATCCCAACCTCCCCAATTTAAGTTGGAATGGTTGAAACCGGCACACCAGCTTCATTCAGCTGCAGCACCAGCAGCTAGCTGATCGGGCATGAATTGTGTCGTAATGAACCTGCTGTTGCTATCGTGGAAGCCAACCATTGGATCTTACAGGATCTTTTTATGCAAATGCATTAATCAGCGCAGGTGATGTGAAATTGTCAACCGTGGTTGTTCCCCAAACATTGTTCTCCAAGCAGTCATGACGTGAATTAATCAGTCATTGCGTTGCTAGCTTTGCCTCGGTTTGGGCTCAGAAACCGGCGTCAATGGTGACAAGCTGAGCAGCCTAGGCAGGCCATCGCTTTGGGTGGCCTCCGTGCTTTCGTCAGTTTCAGAGCCTATTATCAGTGATCCCCAGCCTCGAACTTGACAACCGTATTTGAAATTCTGCCGGCTCATCACGTCGTTTGTTGGCTGCAGGAAGATTTGCTCTTACTACATTGTAGCCATTGACGTCTCACTCCGTCCAATTGATCGCATGTTTTTCCATTACGGATTGCACCTATGTGTTCTCCGCCGTACGAAGTACAGTCTACCGTGTTCCATGGCAAGCAAATTCTCGCTATCAATAGATCAACAAACTAGTGCCTAGAAGCACTACCATTGCAATATGCCAAGCCTATGTGTGGTCTCGGCTTTTGGTTGCTGTGACAACTGGAAAGCAGTCAGCAATTTGCTGACAATGGATCCTTATTTGAGTTCCATGTTAATTTGCGAGCTGGGTCTAATAATCTCAGGCCACCACTAGTCTCTAGCCTCTGGCGTCAGGTCCCAGCCGCGGTTCGAGATTTGTACCCGTGCGAAACGCGATTCGCGAATGGCTTTGATGTTGCATTGGATGGATCGATGATTTGAAGTTTCGAACAGAGTCAACAAACCAGACAGAGTTCCTCGGCCCAACGGCATCTGCTCAATTCTCACATGTATACTCGTGTCAAAATCCGCGGCTGAGGTCGTGGAGGCTTGCGTTGTGCCGAAGCCGTTTTCTGAGACAATTCTGGGGTAACTCGCACATTACATGACATCTTAGACGGGCATCACAAGCTGCGTTACGCGTGTTATCAGAAACCCCGATGATATGGGTGCTAATGCAGGTCTGATGCGCATTCAGGCCCTCCGTCCTCCGCATATTCCATAGATTCCCCAGAGCTCCAATAGTATCCCTGAGGTGAAACAGGCGGTTTCTAACTTTCTAACTGTCTGCCACAATGTATATGATGTTACAATGATTTTTGGATAATATGATATGTCTTCAGTAAGATAGTCCAGTGCATTTCCTCTCTGACTCTGTGCATCAGATGAGACTGTGACACGGGCAATAACCGAGTTTCGTGTTTCTGATGAATCACTGAAGCTTCCTTTACATCCTCATGAGCCTGGCAGTAGCCACACATGCAAAAGGAGCGTGACGTTATCAGGGTCCAACCTGATCCGAGGTGTTTGAAGTACCTAAGGAGTCAAAGCCATTCAAAAAGAGGCGCGTGGTATGTTGATCTGAAGTTGTTGAGGAGATACCAGATTCGTTCCTGTTTGTGAGATCAAGCTTCAATGTCAAAGTCTTTACCGAATACCTACTTACCTTACCTACCTGTATACCTAGGTGATGATTGATATGAGGAAACTCGATCACGTGGCACCTGGATGATGTCAGCATCGTGCCCCTCCAACTACCTACCCCACGATAACCCATATTTGCATTGCCCACGATGACGATGTCGCTTGTAGAGCTTGAGATTTTCATAATTGTATGACGCGGTTTTGAGAGAAGCAGTTGAAAATGAAGCAAAGATTCTCTTCTTTGGATGTCAAAGTAGGTCTTTTACCAAAGCTACTACCTTTAACTCTATCCTAATTGTTGAACAAAGATCATTGCCCATGAGCTCCAGGAACGCTTGGTGACTCTTCGACTCTCCAACGTATACGACCTTTCGTCCAAGATTCTCCTGCTCAAGTTTGCGAAACCAGACAACAAAAAGCAGCTTGTTATCGACACGGGATTCCGCTGCCACTTGACGAAATTCGCGCGTACAACTGCTGCGGCCCCTTCCGCTTTTGTTGCACGTCTAAGAAAGTTTCTCAAGACCAGACGGTTGACGTCAGTTAGACAAGTCGGCACCGATCGAGTCCTCGAGTTTGAATTCAGTGACGGCCAATACAGATTGTTCTTGGAGTTTTTTGCTGTATGTAATTTGCCATGCGATCCAGAAAAAAACTTTGAGCCACTGACCTTTATTTCATAGAGTGGTAACATTATTCTCACGGATGCTGACTTGAAGATCCTTGCCCTCGCAAGAACTGTTTCAGAAGGTGAAGGCCAAGAACCTCAGCGAGTCGGCCTACAATACTCCCTGGAGAACAGACAGAACTTTGGCGGAATACCTCCTTTGACAAGAGAAAGAGTACAAGATGCTCTAAGGACTGCCGTGGAAAAAGCAGCTACCGCTACCGCATCATCAAAGAAGCACAAGGGCAAACCTGGTGGCGATCTGAGAAAGAGTTTGGCTGTATCAATTACAGAACTGCCTCCAGTACTCGTGGATCACTGGCTACACACAAATAATTTCGACACCACTATTAAGCCTGACGAAATACTGGCCAATGAAACGTTTCTGGCTGATTTGGTTAAGTCACTTCAAGAAGCCCGACAAAGTGTGGAAGAGCTCACCAGCTCGGAAGTATGCACTGGCTACATATTCGCGAAACGCAGGGAAAGAAGTGAGGGAGCAGAGGCTAATGACGACGAATCTAAGACGCAGCGTGACAATCTTCTATACGAAGATTTTCATCCGTTTGTCCCCTATAAGCTGAAGAAGGATCCCACCGTCGAGGTCCTTGAATTCACAGGATACAATGAGACAGTTGACGAATTTTTCTCCTCCTTAGAGGGCCAGAGACTGGAGTCCCGACTAAGTGAGCGAGAAGCGGCTGCGAAGCGCAAGTTGGAGGCCGCGAGAAATGAACAGAGCAAACGAATCGAAGGGCTTCAAGAGGCTCAGGCCCTCAACTTTCGCAAAGCCGCCGCCATTGAAGCGAACGCTGAACGAGTTCAAGAAGCTATGGATGCCGTCAACGGATTACTCAGCCAGGGAATGGATTGGGTGGATGTCGGCAAACTGGTGGAACGCGAGAAAAAACGGCACAACCCCGTTGCTGAGATTATTAAACTTCCTCTAAACCTTGCCGAGAATCTCATTACGCTTGAGCTGGCCGAGGAAGAATTTGAGCTAGAGGAAGACGACCCCTACGAAACGGACGACGACGACAGCGCGCTTGGCGATGACGAAGGAACATCGACGGCAAAGGGAAAACCGACCAATAAGGCCCTAAGTGTGGAAATCAATCTTGGCCTTAGCCCTTGGAGCAATGCTCGAGAGTATTTTGACCAGCGGAAGACGGCGGCCGTAAAGGAAGAAAAGACCCAGCAACAGGCCTCAAGGGCTCTGAAGAATGCAGAGCAAAAAATCACCGAGGATCTCAAAAAGGGGCTGAAACAGGAAAAGGCACTGCTTCAACCAATCCGCAAGCCAATGTGGTTTGAGAAATTCGTTTGGTTTATCTCATCCGATGGATATCTCGTAATCGGAGGTAAAGATGCTCAGCAAAATGAAATGGTCTACAAGAAATATCTCCGTAAAGGCGATGTGTACTGCCACGCAGATCTGCATGGAGCATCAAGCGTTATCATCAAGAACAATCCGAAAACTCCTGATGCGCCCATTCCCCCAGCAACACTGTCCCAGGCCGGATCACTCGCCGTGTGTTCGTCGAATGCTTGGGACTCGAAGGCCGGCATGTCTGCATGGTGGGTAAACGCTGATCAAGTTTCCAAATCTGCACCGACAGGCGAATTTCTGCCGGCAGGAAGTTTCATGATTCGGGGAAAGAAGAATTTTCTGCCTCCAGCTCAGCTTCTGCTCGGTCTAGGTGTTGCATTTAAGATCAGCGAGGAGAGCAAAGCCAAGCATATTAAGCATCGCCTACACGATGCTAACTCTACCGTTGGCGGTGAAGTTTCGACAGCAGCGACGCCGCAGCCAGCAGACAGGGCAAGCGATGTTAATGAACTTGAAGTAGAACAATCCGACGAACCTTCTGACAATGAATCCGACGATGGACAACAAGACGAAGCGTCCCGTGACAACCCCCTTCAGGCTTTTGGCAAGGATGGAGACCGCAACGACGAGGTTGAAGAGACTGAAGAAGGCGTGTCTGAGTTCAAGATCACGGATGATACAGCCGACGAGGCTCGTAGTCAAGAAGTGGCCGAACTAGATGAAAATGAAGCAGTGGGAGGAGAAGCAAAAGAGGACGAAGATGACGAGTTAGCTGGACCGGATGACGAGACAGCTGGCAAGCCCGTTGACATAAAGCCGAAGAATAACGGCCCCAGCTCTTCGAAGAAAGGACCTCCCAAGCGAGGTCAGAAGGGCAAGGCGAAGAAGATCGCCTCAAAGTATAAGCACCAAGATGAGGATGATCGAGCCGCCGCAGAAGCTTTGATCGGAGCAACAGTTGGACAAAAGAAGGCTGAAGCTGAGGCGAAAGCTAAGGCAGACCGTGAGGCCGAGCTTGCTGCTGCTAAAGAGCGACGTCGCGCACAGCACCAACGAGAGCAGAAAGAAACTGCCGAACACGAGGAGATTCGACGGGTTATGATGGAGGAAGGTGTTGACATTCTTGATGAGGACGAAGCCAGCCAGATGACTGTTCTTGACTCCATTGTTGGTACGCCTCTTCCCGGAGATGAGATCCTTGAGATCATCCCTATTTGTGCCCCTTGGAACGCCCTCGGACGATACAAGTACAAGGCGAAGTTGCAGCCCGGTGCGACCAAGAAGGGCAAGGCAGTTAAAGAGGTTCTCGATCGTTGGAAGGCAGCTTCTACTAAGAAGGGTGTTGTTGACGAAACCGCTCGTGACACCGAAAGGATGTGGCCGCGTGAAGTTGAGCTTATCAAGGCGCTCAAGCCCGAAGAGACATTTAACGTCGTACCGGTCGGTAAAGTGAGAGTCATGATGGCGGGTGGTACTAGCGGAAATGCTGGTGGAGGCGGAGGTGGTAGCAAGAAGGGTGCAGGTGGAAAAGGGAAGGGCGGAAGAGGAGGCAAAGGATCAAAGAGATCATAGTCAGTACACAAACTTTGATGTAAGCATAAAGTCGAAGAAATGAGTTCAGGTTGAAGTACATATAGAGTGCTATTTCTATAACTGAATGAAAACCCAGTAACGTATTGCCATGATCCAAAGTGCCGCAAAAGGTACGCAGTTCTTCCATGCCACACCCAGTTCCATATATCATTCATCTAATCATAAATCATAATCCGCTCATCTTACGCTATAGCTGACCTTGTCAAATTTCCTGACGTCGTCAGGCATACGCGCAATACACAATTCACCACAGAATTCACCCCATTCACCACTCGTCGCATCACGAACAGCATCTCTCATGCCCCTGCCGTAGCGCTCCCGGAAGGCTTGCTTGACAGCGCGCATGTGGTGTGGATCCCAGTGGTATCGAACAAGACGTGAAATGAGTAGCTCACGGCGGAGGCCATCTTTACGAGACGCTGAGGTAGCGTGATGGATGAGGAGGGCATCGCGAACAGGACGATTGATAACACCGTTGAGGATGTGGGCCAAGAGTTCACCCTGGACAATGTTAGTATTAAATCATCAATTGCAGGGGGAAAAAGGTTAGGCCTTACCACAAGATTTCCGCTCTTCTTGAGAGCGTCGCGAGCAAAGTTGGAGCGATGTTGTCGCTCATATTCCTGCAGAATGGCGCGTAGATGAGAGTCGCTTCGTAGTATGATGATGTTGATCATCGCTGTCTCGCCACCCTTTTCAGACCTCACAGATCGGCGCAGGTCAGCGACGTCCTGATCAACCAGAGCGTAGTCAATTGGTAAAAGTCGACCGTAATGATCATATTCCTCCATGCGCCGCTCTTCCAAAACAAGGAGAACAGCTTTTTTGAACTTGTCTTCCTTGAGTTCTTCTTTCATACACTTGACGAGGCTGTTGTCATATTTCTTATCCGTGAATGCATCCTTGATGTAACGTATTTCGCCGTTGGTGCGTCCCATCAGAGACTCAATGAGAAGCTCCCTGCGAGTCTTGTCGCCCTGGTACCAGAAATTGGCCCAGTATGCCTCGCTCTCCCACATGCCGAGAGCAACGGAATAGCAGGCCTTCATCAAAAGCGGATCTTCATCTTTGAGACGAGCACGAATATGTTTAGCGATGTTGACGCCCTTGCGCTCAGAACCCGTCTTGACAAGTGCCTTGTAGTCCGCGCGAAGCTTCATCACTTGATCATGCGTCAAGCTTGGTAGGATTTCAATAAGTGGCTCAGTATCGGGACGGCGGCTGCCCTTGAGGGCCTGTGCAAGTTGAGTGGTGATATCTTCGGAGTCATGGAAGCGGGCACGTCGGCTACGGCGTCTGCTATCGCCCTCGTTATCAGAACCCAATGGAGAGAGCGCCTCGAGAGCTTTGTTGTCATCGCCTGGTTGTTTAGAGGCGAGCAGTAGAGGAGATGGCATGGGCGAACAGTCCTGATAAGTACCATAGTATGACTCGAGCATGGGCGACGGAGGCGCATTGGCTAACGATGCACCAGCCAGTCCACCAACGGCCAAGCCTCCCACAGTCAGCCCAGTGTTAATGCTGAGACCTGACATTCTCTCACTGGGGGGCTGAGGGGACTTGTCTTTTCGGCTACGGTGCTTATCCCTAGACCGCGATCTGTGACCGTCCCTTGATCGTGACCTATGCCTGTGGTGTTTCTCTACGCCCAGAGTATCTCGCGAAGGCGACTTATCCCTCCGGCGAGACCGTGATCTGTCGCGTGACTTCTCGCGCTTTCGACTGCTCGAGTCGACAGTCAAGCGGTCTGAGCTACCTCGGGGGCCGGAAGACCTGTCCCTGCGTCTGTCACGGTGTTTTTCATCATCGCGGCTTCGAGGCGCAACGGTCATGACGTTGGCGCCCGAGCCATAGGTGTCATCGTATCGTGCATCTTCCCTTGTCTTGCGTGAACCATACTGGTCAACGGACGGACTTGCAGGTTCACGATGAGAATATCCGTAAGGTGGTTGTTGAGCATAGTACTGCTCTTCAGAAGCTGGAGGAGGATTATATGTAGTCATAACCTGGCTAGCAGTTGACGGAGCTCCGGTGGCCTTTCCATACGCCAAGTCCGAAGAGTCTTTAGGTCGCACAGGCACGGGAGGCTTTCCGTAGGCCAAGCCATCGTCGTCCTTATCCCTCTCCTTGTCGTTGCCTGAAGATCCAGTGAGCTTGCGCATGTACTTCTGTGGCAGGAAGCTAAATTTGTCTTCATCTTCTTTAGCACGGGGCTCCGCATTTTGAACGTATGGGTCTCTATCTTTCTCGCGGCGGCGGTCATCTGGGAATGCTCCTGGAAGGCTGCTGTCAACCCTGTCGTGCGAGGAACGGTATGGCGAGTCTCTTGGCGGAGAAGCGGTTCGATAAGTCGGCGGCTGAGAGTCGTAACTGTACTGAGATGGGTTTCCAGGAATCACAGGATAGATCCCCCCTTCTTCGGGATATGGTAGAGCGCCGCTTGCTTGCGGTGCGCCTGGGCGACTATAGCGATCATTGAGATCATCCTCTGGATAGATGTAACTTGGTTCACGATTATCGCTGTAGGAAGGGCGCTCAGGTGCAACGTCACTCCTTGAACGGCGGTCACGAGAACGAGATCGAGAACGATCCTTGCGGGACCGGTCATCAGGCTTGAGAGACATGGTCTCAGTCTCGTTGTGTTATGTTCTGGTTTTGTTCTGGAGAGGCAAAGAGCTCAGCTGCTGAAATGGAAGCGGGGATCTTTGGTTTGCAAGCAAGGGTCCCAGTGTCGGACTAAGAGGGGGCGCCAACTGAGAGAGGTCTTCAGCGGCGAGGCAATTTGAGTAGCAAGAGATTGAGGATGAGGAGAGGCACTTATTATGAAGAAATGGATAAGTTCGAGAAAAGATGCCTAATTGAGCAGCAAAGTCTACATTTTATTAAATGGTCACACGCCGCCTAATGCGTCAATGGCGGGCGGACCGAGAGAATGGAGGGGCTGAATGAGACCTGACCTGCAGCGACATACGCAGCTACGGTACCTCTCCTGCTATGCTTGGAGCTGGAGCTCTTGGAATCTTCTCCTATTAGTGGAGGGAGAGAGTCAGAGATCGTCATAGGGCCAGGAGGACATGGGCCACACAGGGAAGCGAAAGAAATGCCCACAGGGCAGACCAGTTAAACAGCTGTTGAGGGGCTCAAGGGAGGGAGATCGGGGGACCCCGAGCGCTAAGAACGTTCACCATGCCGCTTGCTGGGGTTTGGTGGTGGCTGTCGCAGAGGCTGAGAACAACATATTGTTCCATCCTTGTGGGGGCTGATGCGGGTGAGACTGAGGTCGAAAGATGATGTGACTGGACTAGATTGGAAGACTCGGACATATGTTATATTGATTACCTAGTTAGTTGACCATTGCGAGACAAGGTAAAAAAGTTGAATGGTATGACGTTGTATTCTCCATGCGATAAGTTATTTGTTTGACACCTGATAGTAGAGGCCCTTCGTTAAGTGGTAGAGAGGTTGCCCCACTGTGTTTGGTCAATAAGTCACACCCTGCTAGATAGAGGCATCTGTCTTATGAAGCTTCCTATCATGGTAACTCCAAACCATCTGAATCTATTTTTGCGGCACTCTTTCGCCTCGTTGGAAGACATATAATGCTTCATCCTTTCCAGGAAAGGATGGCAACGCTACCTTTACCACCATAGTCCAGTCCTCATGCTCTTTCGCCATGAACTCATCCATAGTGACTCCCTTGAACCCTGTGTAACCGTTTCGATTTTGTGTACCCACGACTGCGATAGTATCGCCGCCAAAGGCAGACACCAGGTTCCGCGTAAATCCCCCCTCAGTGCCGCCGCCAACGCCTCCACCAACGACGGGATACACAAGCAAGAGAACCATGCCTTCTCCATTCGAATTCTTGCGTAACCACTTCACGCCGTCCGATATGACCGTATCGTTGACCCAGTTGACTCTCCATTCGCTCTGCATGTTATCCACCGCATGCACTGTAAGGCCGTAGCGACGGAGCATGTAGGACCAATAACCATTGCCAGAACCGATATCGACAATCGGGCGCCCGTCAGACAGAATTTTCAGGATAGCCAGGCTCTCGTGAGTTGGTGTTGCGCAGCCAAAGTGATGCATGAAGATTGGCAGAACATGATGGGACATTGGTCCACGTTCTGATGCCAGGCAAGGGCCGCACCATTCAAGAGAGTGACATGACCACATCCAGAAATCGAGATAGGGATTTGCGCTGGGTGGTTTCTTGCTCTTGGGGATAGTGAGTTTCGTTACAAGCCCAGAGTGCAGATACCGCTTGCTCTCGAGGTTGGCTGCCACTTCACGCCTTATGGAATCTTTTTTAGCATTTGTTCCTAGATTCTTAAGAGTTGCAGCAGTGGCCGTTGATGGCCTGAACATGGAGACATATGCTTCAATGTCAGCTTGAGGAGGCGGATCTTTCTACTTCTATGTCAGTTTCTCTAATTCCTACTCCTCGGACGTTGCCCACAGGCAGGTAAGTTCTTACAGGTGAGCCATCTTCATTGCGGTACCACGCGTGTAAGCCATTGGCACCTCCAAGGTTGACTACTGACTGGACTTGGGCAAGTTTCACACTTGCAATGGCATGGTATGTATAGGGATCCGGGTCAGGGAGTTGAAAGAGTACTCGACTGGCGTTGAAGAGGTCATTCTTCAGGAGGTGGCTCAAAGCTTCTCTCTGACGGTCGGTATCTTCAATGAGTTCATCTGGGCTGAAAGATGGGCTTCCAACACAATGAACGAACCTGGATTGGGGCATCTGGAGGGTTAATGGCAGCCCGAACTCTCAAACTACCGATAGATAATTCACAACAAGTGCCTCGGTTCGATATTGATGACGTTATACTGTTAGCATAGGGTTGAATTAGCTATAGGTGGTAGTGGAGGTGTTGTGTGAAGCGTCTCCCAAAAGTGGACACAAATTAGTTCCTTGCCAAGCCTACCCTGACGGCCCTGGCACACAATTGCAGCACTAATGGACCAGTATAATGATAAATATCCAATGCCATCATCATATCCATTTTATAAGTCCGAAGGCCCTCTTATCGCGAACGTTTTCCCTCGGACCATGTATCACGGAGCAGTCCTGCACCCCGACCCCGAATAGGAATTCGTTCTGACGTATCATTTATGAGCGAAACCGCTCATTTGTCGCACTACGTTGCCCCAGACCATTGTAAATACGCTGTTGCTGTCGTTGGCTGGGATCGGTTGGTTTGCTTGCTTTTGGTTACCAAGGTACCAATGGTAATGGGTGGCTAACAATACTAACATTCATGGCTAGGTGCTCTAGGCTACTTGGGAACCCCTCGAAATTACCAAGTCATGTTCTTTGTTCTGATAATCCAAATTTACCTTACTCAAGAGCACATTTCGCCCGGCGCCCTTCAACTTGCGTGTGATGGCTAGAACTTCCATCGCCAGCGTAGTACAGAGCCAAACGATAGAGTTCCGTACTAAGGGGCGCCTGGCTGGAACAGTCTCTTGCTTTATATTTCTAATCGGTATGGCGGTAATCTGCCACCCGACCTCTTGACACGATCTATGCCACGCCTTGATTCATTAGTGCAATACATGGATCGCCGTGTGGAAAACTTCACTGGCGCTTGGGACAAGAAACCAACGCTACCACCTGCCACCTCCTGCCCCACCAGCTCAATGTAAGTCAACCTACTTACCTGCCTTTATCCATTACAGGAGGCGCTTCGTCAAAGTCTCCCTTCTCCATCTACAGTCGCTACTGTGCTCGATTTCATCGCCTTGGATCTGTTTTCGCGCATCTTCTTGATGCGGCCTTAAAAGCAAGATTCCCGTCTGATTTAACTACTGTACTCAAATTCCAAAGGGAGTCCCCTGTATTCAGATCATCCTACAAAACCTGCCTTAGCCGACCCTAAACAACCTTACTTCGTCATCGGAGCACTCCAACAACTTCGATCGCGTCTCCAATTGCTTCCCTCTGGCCAAAATCCAGAGGAAATCGGCATAAAATCCCTGTGTTGCAAGTGTCGTCGCGTATATTTTACATCACTTGAAAGTCGTGCTTTGTCTGTCACAAACAACATCAAGGACAACCCGTTGCTTTCTGGTTATATCCGTCTTCCTTCCGGCTATTATTACTCTCTGGAATAAGATGGACCCAGAACCACATAGCCAGACACAGGCATTCCCGCCTTCTACCCGAGGAGACACTACGAAACACGATGCCAAGCCAAATGATTCCGAGCTATCAGAGGCCCGACATCAAGTGAATGGTAAAGGAAGCGGTATCGTTGACCAGAGAATTCCTGGCGGCAGCACTGAGCTCTCATCGCAAGCAGTTAAACCCTTCGACATCTTCAAGGACGTGTATGGAGTTAGTCGTACACCAGGCTCCCCAAGTTCAGATACAGAGAGCCAGCATCGACCCATCACGTCTCCCCTTACTCACCCCAATGGTGTCTCTATGTTTCCAGACCTATCGGTTACGGAGCAGGAAGCCATCTCTCGACAAGCCTTTGCTCAAGCCGAAGACAACATTGTTGCCGATAGTGACGAATACAGTTCCATAGGCGATGCTGGATCTGATGCCGGATACGGGAGCGATAATATGAGCACTGCAAGTACATCCATTGGATCGTCTGTTCGGGATTACATGTTTGAGAATGGTCGTCGCTACCATAGCTTCCGGGCTGGGGCCTACAACTTCCCCAACGACGACATTGAACAAGAGAGAGAGGACATGAAACATGCAATGGTGAGACTTCTCTCTGGCCAGAAATTACATTTTGCGCCAATAGACGAGAATCCACAAAACGTACTTGATATTGGAACTGGCACAGGAATCTGGGCAATTGAAAGTAAGGCCAACTCACTCATCACTTCGTCTTAACAACTAATAGTGCAATAGTGGGAGAACAATACCCTAGTGCCAATGTTCTCGGCATCGATTTATCACCCATCCAACCGACATGGTTACCGCCCAATGTCCACTTCATGGTTGATGATGTTGAGTCTCCTTGGCTTCATCCTCAGAACCACTTTGACTATGTACACTCTCGGCACACGGTTCAGGGAATCAAAGACTGGCCTCAGCTTTTTACTAATGCTCTCCGGTAAGTATAAATTCTGTTACAGCATGTTCTTGGCTTGTACTTATACGATGCTAGGCATATCAAGCCCGGAGGCTGGATGGAACTCCAGGAAATCCATCATTATCCCCACAATGCAAGGACAGGAGAAGCTATCCCGCCATACGAACACCCAGTTGCACAGTATTGGACATATATCAATGAGGGGTTAGCACAACTTGGTGTAGACTTTCCTGCAGCAGCAGGAGGTAAATTGGCCACGAAAATGCAGGCAGCTGGCTTTGTCAACGTCACGGAACGGATATTCCATGTGCCCCTTGGCACCTGGCCCAAAAATCAAGTGCTCAAGACTGTCGGACTGTACTGGCGCACTATACTGGCGGATGGCTTACAAGCAATTGCATTGGGTCCCATGTCAAGGGGAATGGGTTGGAGCCGTGAGCAGATTGAAGTGTTTCTTGTCGAGGTGCGAAGGGCGTATAGCGACAATACGGCCCTTTTGTATATGCCCATGCACATTGTCTACGGGCAAAAGCCATACTAAACCGTCGAGCGAAATCAGAGTATACAAACGCATCAAAGTCGCAAGCGGCTTCAAGTCGTTGCGCATTCAAGAATTACAAGGACATACCAAGCCGACAGCCCCATTCTGATACTGTCATGGGTTGCATGGTATCGTGTGGCCGCTAAAGATGCGGGATGGAATGGAGGCGGACGCTATGTTTTCTACCCGTAGGCCCGCTGATAGTCTCGGCTGTCTATGGGCAAGTCTTTCTGGGAAAAGTGAGCTAGGACTGGGTATTGATCCTCGACATCTGATCAATCATCCTATGCCCATCATAGGGACACCATCAACTCGTACAACGACTGAGGACTAAAAGACTGAACACCCATGGCAAGTGCGTACTGTTGGACAGGTACTCTGTACACAGAAGTTCAATGAACAACTAGAGCAAGCACGTGACTTCTTTCTTTTCGTCAAGGTTCTACATGAACCATGTTGGTAGGCTATCGGAATTTCTCAGCTACTGTTGCTGCACGGAATACTTTTACATAATACAGGCGAACTTGCCCTCGATGCATAGAATCAGCGGTTCCCGTTCCCAGATGTGCGAGCAGCGAACAAAACTCAAACCACCAAAAAGCTTCGCGAAAGACTGTGGTGTTTTCGACGGAGGATGACGGCTCATACTTAGATTTACTTATGCAGCCAAGCTTCGTGCCACTGGCACCAGTCCCTCCTAGCTTCCGGGCTAGCCTGTGGAGAACTAGGAACATATTTTTAATCTAACTAAACCTGTCTTATCGTAACTACGAACCCCAGCAGCTAATGTACCATACAGCTCAGCTCAGGTCATGTCTCGACTCGACCTTCAGGGATTAAAATCACAAGTTGCAGCACACATGCCAATCATGACGACTTTGGAATCAACGCGGAATTCAGGCTTTGCGCACTCTCGCCACTTGTTCCACTGGCGCTTGGAGGAATGATGGTGGTGCGGGTGGGTGGACTTGTTCATGCCGCCCATGTCTTGAGCAGAACAGCTCACGTATCCTCGTACCCGCATTGGTCATGATGGTAGTCTAAGGTCTAGAGTAAATTTGGGACCATGATGGACAGCAATGATGTATAAAACCGCGCATCCCCGCGTCGCTTCGCAACATGGACTAGGGAACACGACCATTTCACTTGTTCAACATGGCTGAACCACACATTTCGTCATATTCGCAAAACCCGCAAAGCCTGGACACATCTCTCATGGTGCAGCTAGCCAGGAAGATCACTGAAGAGACAGAAAAGCTCGATGGGTATTTCAAGGCCAATGGTCTTCAGGACTTGGGTTTCGATGTCAATGCCCCTGGAGATCTCCCCAAGTTGCCGGATGATATACAGAGAAGTCGCATGGAGATCTCTTCTGCAACTAAACAGCTCGAGCTTCTTGTTCGGGGACCCAGAGAGACTGTCAGATGGGGTATATGGAGTGTAAGCCTGCCGCCTTTGCATTGGCCTCAGTACTGACACAAAAAGTATCTCGACACCTTGAGCCTCCAAATACTGAACAGCTATGGAATTCGTGAGCCCGCCAATTCTGATTTTATATTCGTTTCTGATCCTTCATAGCCAACCTCGTACCTCTGGAGGGATCTATTGCTTTGGCTGAACTTCTAAGCAAGACTGAACTGGACCGCATAAACCTAGCCCGCGCTCTTCGTCATGCTATGACAAATAAGATTTTTCAAGAGCCTGCACCAGGGCTCATAGCACACACTGCCGCATCAAAGATGCTTGCTCAGGACGCCAGTCTCCAAGCCTGGGTAGGGTTGAATGGAGAGGATTTCTTACCAGCTGGGGCTCATACCTTGGAAGCTCTTCGTGCCGACCCAGAAGCGACCTCACTCACACGGACTGGCTTCAACCATGCATGGGGGACGGTGGATAAAGAGCCAATGTTTGCAACATTCGGCAAAGACCCTCCCAGAGGAAAGCGATTTGCGGTAGCTATGGCAAGCTTGACAGGCGGCGAGGGCTATGAGGTTCGCTACCTCGTCGATAACTACGACTTTTCCGAAGTAAATAACAACAACGGCACATTGGTGGATGTCGGCGGCAGTCATGGCTTCGTGTGCGTTGATCTTGCCAAGAAATGGGATAAGATGAAGTTTGTGGTACAAGATTTAGCAAAGACAATCAGCAGCACCCCAGAGCCGATATGCGCAGATGAAGGGGTAGCTCAACGCATATCTCTTCAAGTCCATGATTTCTTTACTGAGCAGCCAGTCAAGGATGCCGATGGTGAGACTGACAGAATACTTGCTCCATGAGTTTTCCCCCTTTACTGACGCAAACCAAGTTTATTACTTCCGCTGGATACTCCACAACTACTCTACCCCATATGCCGTCAAGATCCTCAAAAACTTAGTCCCGGCTCTCAAACCTGGTGCGCGTGTCATCATCAACGATCATTGTCTCCGTGAGCCAGGGGCTGAAAACCATTGGGATGAAAAAGTCATGCGGAGTATGGACCTGTTGATGTTGACCTTGTTGAATGCACAAGAGCGAACAGAAAAGGAGTTTGAAGAGCTCTTTAGGGCTGCCGATGAGCGCTTCGTCTTCAAGGTAAGTCACCGAACTCGCATCGTCTCCGATTGTTGTGTATACTGATAGGTCTTTTCAAGGGTGTGAGAAGACCTGAGGGATGTAGGATGAGCATTATCGAGGCAGTTTGGCAGCCTTGAATGGCAACGGCGTGTTTGAACAGCAACCATTCTGGACGAAGGAGATGATAATAAAGACATTGGTACACATAAATGATATAGGTCAAGGGATGTAAAACAAGGACTGTCTAGATCCCCGAAGGCCTGGTACTGGATGATAGACTCGGGAATTCACGAATAGTTGGATCAGCCACTTCTGGATAACTTCCATGTAGTCAAATAACAACCAGATCTAATAACAAAGCGTAATTGGTTTAGTGGTAAAATTCTCCGTTGCCATTCGAGCAGCGTCGGGGAGCCCAGGGTTCGATTCCCTGATTACGCATTGCTTTTTGTCCTTATCGAAGCCCCTTTTCATGTATAAGTTGTTTTTTTTATTTTGGTTTCTTTCGTTCTGTCTATTTGCTTTGATTGGTCTAATTGCGGCGGTGTTGAGTTAATTAATTCTAAGTAGTTAATACCCAGGGGCTAGTAAATCTTGCCTTTAATACAGAGTGAAAGGGCTCCTGTAAAGATCTTCTCTCCGCGTGCTAGAAACAACTTATCAAATGCTCTTCTAAACTGGTATTAGTTTACCTAAGGGTATCCTAAAGTCACCTAAGCTGTCACTTATGATTGCGGTCTTCAGCTTCTGGCCTTCTAGCCCTATAACCACAACAGCATTAGGTCACGACCAATCGAACAGAGATTTGTCCAGAAATTTGTGTATCATGCAACTATAACACAAACTGTAAAGGAGTTTCTGTCTTTTATGTCTAAAACTTCAAAAACCAGTTCCCCGTGTGCTTCTTCCCATTCTCAAACCACGCGAAGGAAATCTAGAGCTTTCTAGACTCCAGCATATATAGACTCGCGCCCGAGACTCATATCCCCAGTCTCTTCGTTACCAATCTTACAACATCGCTCATTTATCCTCATCTCCAAACCCGCCTCGTCTAGCAATGTCTCTGGCTAGCTCGGCGACTGTTCTGTCACTCAAGACCTCAAAGACCGAGACCTCAACACCGCAGTTGGTGACAACCCAGTTTCGGACACCAACGGCCACCAGCGAGTCAACACCGTAGCCATTGGGAGGCTTCCCAGTGTCAATCTCCTCAGGAAGCATGTTCATCGCCTTGGCAAGCATGAGAGACAGACCAGTGGTGACTATCTCTGCAGCTGCATCTGTGTTGGAGCAGCATGAAAGAAGGGACTTCAAATCAAAGTCATTTGAAGCATCAACCACTTTCAAGTCAGGGAGTGGAGTGTCAACCAGGTTGAGGTAGCCATAGAGAGCAGTACGAGACCAGTATGGATCAGCTGGTTGATTCTGTCTAATGAGACCACCAGAGCCAATGCCCATAATAACGTGACCAGGCATGGGAGTATTGGGTGCAATCTCAGTAGTGATCGCGTGCGCGATCATGGTAAGAAAATCTTCGTGACGAATACCATAGAACCCACTGGCTCGAAGAATGTCAAGAATCTCCTCATCATCTGCAAGCATTCCTGCACCAAGAACAGGCCCAAGATCGATGGACACGGCATGCTTTCCTTTGAGGCGGAGGTTGAGGGCGAGGGCATCTTCAAAACAGTTACCAGCAGCGTAGTTGGCCTGGCCCCGGTTACCAATAACTCCCGCAGAGCTGGCAAGGAAGATGAAGAAGGGGTCTTCTGAGTTTGCCGATATCGCTCGGACAAGATTGTCTGAACCGACGGTTTTTGGTCTAAATGCCTCGACCCAGTCAGAGTATGTCATGTTTGAGAAAATCGAATCTTTGATAGTCGCGGCGCATTGGAGAACCCCTTTAACAGGTGGCATTTCTTGACATATCTCTTCCTTGATTACTTTCGTGAGAGTTTCGGCATCGCAAAGATCAGCCTTGTAGACTCGAGCGTCAATGCCATTAGCGCAAAGGTCTTTAAAAAAGAGCTGAGACGACTTAGATGAAGTACCGGTCCGTGACAGAAAAGCAATGTGTCGAGCACCATTTTTGACCAACAATTCGCAGATACTACGACCAAGGCCGCCCAAGCCGCCTGCAAGGAGGTAGGTATCAGTATCCGACAAGGCTTGATGCAATGGCTTGATTTTCTTTTTGATAGCAATGTCAACCTGAGGCTTAGCATCAGGACCTCCGGTGATGGAAACGAACCCAAAAAAGGGGCTCTTCTCGATGAATCCGAATGCTTCCTTGATCCTGTTGATATTGATATTTATGAGCGGCTCAGGAAGTGGTAGGTTACTGTTCGTATCATCAGAGACACTTTCAACTAGCTCACTCAGCTCTTCAACCAGCTCTGCCACGTAGTTTGCATCATACTTCAACATATTTTGCAAGTCAAAGT